AACCTTTTGTCGAGGCGACTCACCAGATACGTAGGCAGTGACGTGAAAACAGCTGAGGTTCTACGGCCATACTGGCTCTGGCTCCGACGATACGGATACACGTTCCACGGAAGTGGCGAGCGCCGAGCGTGCACGCCGTGCGTCGCGACGCCACTCGGTTGACTCGGTTGCCCGACTTCCCCGGCGCGGCGGTCCGACGCCTGCGATCGATTATCCGAAGTCTCTTACACGCGACGCGAGACTGTTGTCTGTAACACCTGTCCTATTGTCTCACGACTCCGTCGTTCCTCGTCAATTCTTCGTGACAAACGTTGCTCCGAACGAACGGATCTGTCACGACGCTGTCCGCCGTCCGCGCCCACTCGCGCCTACGTTCAACTCTGAGTGACCAGCAGTGACCGCGAAGGACCTGCGCGTTCTTCCCCTGAATCCTCTCACTCTTTGTGGCCAGAGGATAAAGATCACAATCCCGCTCCCGCGCACACGCAAACGGTGCGGTCCGTGCTCTGTTTCACTTCCTGGAAACACAAATGAATCATAGCTGGTGATTCCCAAACATAACCTTGTTTCCTGGTAATTTGTCGGAAGTGATCTTTCCTAGATTCGTCTCCTCGCGGTCCATTTGTCTTTGGGATACATTGCTGCTTTGTGTGAAATGATATCGTATTTACATCTGGAAATTTGAAATGCGCGATTAAAAGGTCTATTTAAATTGTAAAGTTGTTGATTGAAAGGGGTTTTTAATTTAATTCTTTGTTGAATTTAGTAAACGATAAAATATTTTTTAATTGAATGCAAAAGAATAATTTCATTCAATAATAATATAATTGTTTATTTTTACTGTCATTTTATAAATACGTGTCTTACAATTTACAAGTGTATTGTATCTATCTCGTAATTAACAAATTTGTATATATATATATATACATATATATATATGATAAATTATTAATTAATAATTCACATATATAAAATATTTTTTATAGTATCACATATACATAATATTTTTCATAGTTTGAACTGATGAAAAATTGATTTTATATAAAAGCATTTGAAAAGAAAACACTTTCTATTTATTTTCATATATACATATATATATAGATACCTTTCGTTCTGTTTTCAAGTAAAAGTGAGATAAATTCTCTATAATTCTTAAATATGTTAAATTTCTCTGTCAGCAATGTTCATAGATTCTAAATAGAATTTTGCAATTTAAAAAAATAAAACATTAATAACTTTATTTTGAAAGTGAAAGATATTTTAAGAGAATTATAGCAAGTAAAACGAATCAATTTATGTTTTATCCTAAATTGTTTCTTCAGTATTATATATATTAAATCCTCCATTGATTGTTATTATAGAAATAATTGTATGACTTGTAAAAAGGTTGTCTAGGACTAGAAATCTTTGTAGTGTAACTTTCTTTTCATAGTAACTGAAAAACAAAGAAAAAGTATAAAAAATGTGAGAATATGACTGTTTTCATATCACGCATTTTCTTAATTTATCATTTTTAAGATACAAAATAATTATATTCTATAAGGATAAGGAAATGTACTACTCTAAGTAAATGTACTTTTACATTCACATATTTTTCACACTTGTTTTACTTGTTATTCGGTTATGTCATTTCGGATACAGTGTAAAAAAAAAAAACATACAAATCACAGAATTACTGATTGTATTCCTGATGATATCGTTTAATCCTAATAGAAACATTACTTTAAACGTTACCCTAATATCTAAAAAACGAACTTAAATGCTAAACGACTTTGTTGAGCCTTAACAACCAGTGGCGTTTTTGAAGCGTGCATTTACATCCTTCCAGTTAATAATGTCGAAGATTGCTTCCACATAAACAGGTCGTACGTTCTTATATTGTAAATAATAAGCGTGTTCCCACACATCAATACCAAAGAGAGGAATGAGACCAGTAGTGGATTGCAGTGGATCTTGATTCGCACAAGTCGCTATCCTCAGCGACTTGGTCTTCTGATCGTATCCGAGCCAACCCCAACCGGAACCCTGAATTGCTATGGTAATCTGGGATAAGGATTTCTTCATTTCCTCTATAGAGCCAAAGTCTTTGTCGATTTGTTTCGAAAGGGCAGCTGAATAAAAATATGTAATATATCATTCATCTGCATGACAATTATATATGTATATATTTTCTGATTATAAAATTGAAAAGTTAGTATACCTAATCATCTCTCACACACATACATAAGTTATTTTTTTCCAAGAAAAGATCTATAATTATTGAAAACTATTTACATCTATTAATCAGCTATTTATTTTTCTCTTTTCTTTTTATGTCTAAGAAATAAAAATTCTTCAATTTTCTAAGTCTTTTCCCATTTATTAGTGACTTGCTCCTTATTTTAATTTTAAATCTTATGTAAGTTTGAAAATTTATAAAATCATTATATATTAGAAAATGATCTAATTATTAACGAAATCTCAATTTTTAATTGTGTAATTTTACTCTGACTTAACAAAAACTTTGTTTGAAAAATACAAATAAAATTTTATAAGAATTATTTTTTAATTACTGAATGAATTGACTTTAATATTATTTAGTACTTCTTTTACTTTAATTGAAGAGTTATATTACCATCTGGCTGTCCACCATTGGACGAAAGGTTGCACCAAAAGATTGAATGATTAATATGACCACCACCGTTGAACTTGATAGCCGAGCCCAGGGCGATTTGTGTATTGACATCGCCTTTTGCAATCGCCTCCTCCATTTTTTCCTCGGCGATGTTTAGATTGTTAACATAGGTTGCGTGATGTTTGGAATGATGGAGCTCCATGATCTCACAGGATATGATGGGCTCCAGAGCCTTATAATCGTATGGCAAATTTGGAAGTGAATGCTTCGATCTTGCAAATATATCCTTGCTGCATTAGTTTTTATAGAAGGGATTATATTATTATATAATCAAAATAATATATGTATAGTATATACAATAGTATATGTTATAAATAAAAAATACTATATGTATACATATAAATATAAAATAATAAATAGTAATAAGTAAAATACACGTTTGCTGTCATTACAAATTGAAAACTTTTGTTTTTTTTTCTGTTTAAAATATATGTGTATAATTTTTTCATGATCTTTATATTTATTTATATATTTATATATATATATATATATATATATATATATATATATATATATCACAAGAATAGTATGATTTTAATTAAAAGGATTATTATTGCTATAAGGTTTACAGAATTAAACGTTTTTGTTTCTAGATAACCAATTATGAAGAATATAATATAGAAAAACAATCTACAAAGGATGCTAAATAACTCTATACGGTCTTTTTTATAAAAAAAAATTAGCGGATATTCTAAAATTACTTTTGGAAAACACTTTTAGTAAAATTATACATTTGTATTATTAAAAAATAATTCTATTCTCTTATTTTAAATTCTGCATTTCTCTTGTGTTATTTTTCTTTGGAAAAAAAAATTCGCCGTTGCTGCCAGCCCTATGTTAATACAAAAAGTACAGAAAGTGTACTTACACACATATGATTTTGCATAAATTATTAAAAATTCATCGGTTTGTCAAACGATTCGAGTAAAAGTTCGGTAATACAATTGCTCGTTATATAGATATTCATGAAAAACTGTTGCAAACATGTCGAGAGGTTACGTGCCAGGTTAGAAATTACATAATGTGAAAATAACGTCAAATTCGGGAGGCGGTTTTCGTCATGCTTACATTGATTTGGAGACCAGAATACGTCTTGCTGCGAACATAATTGGAGCGACACGTAAACTGTTTTTCAGGAGGATGCGATTCGATCTTTCCTAGGATTTGCAAGGATTCTATTTGCGAATTTTGCGGTTGCTTGTATGATTCTGCCGAGTTCTGTTTCTCCACAGTTCTATAGTTCTACACTGTTCTGCACCACCACTACTCCTCACTGCCACTACATTGGAAAATACTAATAGAATACACCACAAACGAACTTACTCAACTATTCGCCGAATGCTGCGATATCGGCGAGAGTGGAAATTCGTGTAGGATCATGTATTAATGGTTTTTGCGGTAAAGTGCCATTTCCAAACGGAGTTAAAAATGTATCTGTAAGAACTTTTTATAGCTGAACTATATACATATATAATGTTAAAATAAAATCGATACATATTTGAAGTTTGGCAAAAATGAGATGGGATAGCAACAAAGAACAAGCTCAAAAGTGCATATCGATGTTTAATTGCAAATCGATAGGTTGGTTAAATTTTAAAATATTCATTCTCTTTAAAATTGAATTTTTTATGTGCAATAAATAATATTCTAAATGTGTGTTAAATTTGACATTAGGATTTATCTATTTATTTTTTAATTCTCTCGTTTGGGAATTGTCTTTAAATTTTCTATTTTTTAAATGTATATGTTTACTACGCAATTACATAATTAAATGCAAAAGTATGGAATGGAAAAAAATTAACATATGTTCAATCTGAATAAGGAATCCTTTAATAATCATGTTTTGCAGTTGAAGATTCACAATTCATGTTAGCATACTTTTAGTGGTAAGATTAGTGTAAACTAACACGCGGACGTTCTATATCGCGTAAGCAAAATTGGATTCTTATCGAAATATAAAGTTATTTCTAATCGTTCTTAATTATTTGAAAAAAAGAAGACATCATGCTTTAATTGCAAAATGTGCGTAAGAAAAAGCACTTTATTCTTTATCGTTCGTATCTGAGAAATTATTAATATCTTCTATACAAGAATAATAATGGCACTATATACAGAAAATTTGGGATGGAATATATCATGCGTTTTACCTTATAACATTTTTTTAAATGCAAATTTATATTTTTGATATCCACCGTTTCTTTCCTTATAATATAAGCTACAAATAAAATTGAAAGCACATTTTTTTACGAAGATGATATAAAATAAATTTGCATATATAGATAATATAAAATATATCAAACACTATACAAATTTCAGTTTAGGAAAATTAAAAATGTGATTAGTTTAATGTATCAGTCTGTGAGATCAATCCATATGCATTATTAAGACTAATATTATATATTTTGTCATATACTTGATGTTTTCCAATTATTCGGTAAAAGCAAAATTAAATCGCGGTCGATGCCTCATATTGCACAAAAATACATATGTACATCGGACACCGTTACGTATGTACATAATTATACGAAAATCTCACAGTTCGCTTTCTATACCCGAAAATATTAAAATTTACTTGATTTATTTACGTAATATGGTTAGGCGTTTTTGATTAATTCTTGACAATATCTTTCGATTATCCGTTTTTTACTGATAAACCAAAACTTTTGCTGATTTTTACATAGAGTTTTAATACAATAAATTTACAAAATACAAACAAAATTCGATTGTTCTGAATTTTCCTTACAGCGTATTCGACTGTAATAAATTATATTAACCTATTCAGATTTTTCGTCTGATATATCTTTGTAATGTAATACGCAACTTGGTCATTTGCAAGTAACTTTACGTAAACGAGCTTTATATCGATCTAATGGTATAAGAGTATTTACAGGCTTGTCATTTTAGAGACCAATGTGAATATTTATCCTTTGCAGTTTATCACGAATACAGGTACTGAAATTACGTTTCTTTATGGCTAATTATTTTTTTTATTCGAACAATATCTTGTAAATAGGCAACCGGCGTTGCTTTAGATGAAAAATTTTGTACATAGTGGATGTCAAATCATATATCGCAAATTTCAACCACACGTGTAGTTAATGTTGTCCAAAATCAACCTAAAACAATATTCATTCGGGATCACTCTGCAGAGTCTCGCCATTAGTTAAAACTAACGCATCATCATCGGCTTCGTTATAATCGAGAGAAAGAATGCTTTCCCTTCGTTTCTTCTTGTGCGTCCTTTCATCATCACTACTGGCTGCACTTTTCTCTCTCTTTATCCTGTCCCTACCCCGTGTTGTTCGTGTTGTCACCTCCTCCCCATTTGATTTACCACTATTCCTATTGTGATTTTTATTTCTTAATATTCGTTTGTTTCGATTTTCCTCCTGCTCTTCTTCCCTATCACTAAGTTCCTCGTTCTCAACCTTAATAATTAACGCCGCGGAATCGCTGGAACTCTCGTCATTGTGATCGGCTTGATTAAGTTTTCTCTCCGCACGTTCTGTCCTTTCAACACTGGTAAGCTCACTCTGGGGCGACGCTAACGGTGGAGTCCTCACACCTTTGCACATATCACTGTCCTCCATCGGTTTTGAAGATTTCGTATCTGGTACTGTAGTTTCTTCCTGTTCCTCTTTCTTAATTGGCGGCGTATGGGGCGATAAACCATTCGATAGATTATTCTCGTTTGTACTTGCCTTTAATGCTGCATTTTCCTGTTGCAATAGCGTGACGGACTCTCGTGCTTTGCGCAGTTCTTGTTGCAAAAAGTAAATAGTGCTCTGCATACCCTCTACGTCTTCATCTAAATCCTGCAGAAACTCATCTAATTCTGTAACAAATTAAACGAAAATGAATTAATTATATAATATTTGAAATATTTTGATCACAGAATTCGATTTTAATTATAACAATTATTTGGTAAATGTTAATAACAATTAATGAATAACTAATATGATACCTGATTGTGACTTTTTCACTTCCTCACTAAAACTCTTTTGCAGAGCAAGTTCGCCTTCCAATTTAGCAATACGTCCACTGGCAATCATACGACCAAGTTCTTCATTTTCTTGATATAACAACCTACACTTTGCCATTAATCTTTTCCCTGTGTTACTGTAAATAAAATATTTAATTTAATGAAAACATTTGTGCCGCACATGCAATGTCTTTTATTTAATGTATAAAATTTTCCTGACCTATCCGGCGTGAATTTCCATGCGCTTAGTTCATTCTGCGTATCCTCTAATTTGCCCTTGGTTGTTATTAACTCTTGCCTTAATTTCTGTATTAATATATTAACAGCTGGATCTAATAGAGCGGATCTTAATGCAGCTGTGGACGGAGCTTGGGTGGCTTTCATTTCAGTTATTTGATTCTAATAATGAAAAAAGTAAATCCTTTTTATATAAGATCATATAGAAATAAATTTTGCAAGATAAACTGTACTAGAATTTCGATGTATCTAAGAATAATTACATACAATATATTCTTGTAATTCCTGCTCTTTAGAGGCAAGCCTCCTCACTAAGATCTTCTCCCTGTGAGATGCTTCTATATATTGTTGTCTGTATTTGTTTTCGGATTCTCTCAATGAAGCTAGCTCACCTATAAAGGAATAATCTATAAATTTTTCTACTTCTAAAACTTTAACATTCAATGGAATCTATGTGTTTCTTAAAATTGCAGTAGTTATTACATATATGTTTGTGATGTATGTATATATTTATATCTTACAAGAATATTTCTTGTAAAATAACATAATTCTTGAACATTAAAACAATTACAGTGAAATAATGGAATATGTATATTTCATATAGGAGATGTAATACATACACACACACACGCGCGCGCGCGCGCGCATATATTAGTTCTCTATTTTAAGCCTGCAAGTTGATTTTGTTTTTTTTTTTCCAATATTTAGCCAGCGATTGTATTTTATATTGTCTTAATGTTTTTAAAATTTTTGTTTAAAATCCTTTAAATAAATGTAATTTTTGATATTTGGATTATTAAAAATGTAAATATAAATATCCAATATATTCTGAAAAGTAATATTTTGTATTATTTACTTATATGTAAAGATTTCAAATTATTTTTCTGAAATAAATTAAATTAAAAAAAAATTCTTTAATAATTTTTGTGAACAGTCAACTCTTTGTATTTTCTCTCTCTCTCTC